GTCCTCACTGCTTCTGTGTAAGTCAAAATCTGTTTGGTTGGGCTACCCTCAAAAATCTTTACCCTCCTGTGCCATTGCTCCACATTATGCGGATTTGAACGTAAGAGGACACCATTGGCAAGCGCCGGCCTTCTGTTCATTAAATACTCCAACCGAGCCAACCTCAGATCTATATCCTTGTCATCATGCAACCAAAACCCCTTAAATATTTTCCTCTCAAACTTGTGTTTTGACTTGCACAGACCAACATCCAAACGAATATCTTCATCCTCCTCAATCGTGTCTTCTTGTATGTCTTCTTCTTCTTCATCACTTAAATCCAAGCTCTCCATCTTGTGAGCAATCACACTCTCTTCAAATTGTGAATAAGCATCAAATATTACACTAAAGTCCCGAACAGTTACTACTGTTGTCATACCCTCCTCAAAAATATCTCTAGCCTTCTCAAACAAACTTCTCCTGATGTAATAATCAGCAAGCGAAGTCCATAGCCTTCCTACCTCATCTGTAAACTTCCGTATTCCACCTCTAATTATTGCATCCACACTGAGCCCCGAAACCTCCGTCTTATGCGTTGTAAGCAGGTCACACAACTCCAACCACAGTCTGTGTTTCGTCTTACCTTTTATTGAATAAAAGGTATCATCATTCAAAACAGAAGCTAACCTCTCCGCGGCCTCTTGCCACAGACTTGAATTCACCAAAAACTCAATGAAATCTTCAATGTGAGAAGGATCATACTTCAAGTACCTCCTATAAACCCTCAGTGAGGTCTCAATAGGGATACCCTTCTGGCTCACAAATACCAAATAAGGCTCCCAAATCCTGTCATGCTGAGTCACTGGCAACGCACAGAGAGCCCTGTCAAAAGTCCTACGCGTTCTAGTAATCAACTTCTCTTCTGTCAGGGTTTGCAAGTACATTATCCATATCCTGGGCATCTTATGCATTGTAACAAGAGCTCTTTCAAACGTATTGTTAAGGGTGTCATACTTGGGGTGAGTAACGGGTAGATTTCTAACAATTTCAAGGCGTTCTCGCAGATACGCTCATAGATTATGAAACGGTTACTGAAGGGAGCTTCTGACTTAGCAATCAGATATCGCCACCACAACTTCAGACTAAAAGGGTTGCGTAAGATCTCCTCCTCGTAGGGGAGGTCCTCTTGAGATGGATAAAGTTCTTTTGAGATCGACATGAGAGCAGAGAAAAAAAAGCCCTAAAACCTTCTCAGAAAGGTAGAGATACTGACCTGGTCGAAAATTAGGAAACAGAGATTCACTACCCCAGACGCTTAAGCCCTAGAGCTGCCGTCGCACATGGTGGTGCAAATCCGAGATGAAAACGAAGGAATAAGGTCGGCTAAGGACAAAAACGAAATCGAGGGGCCAAAGGAGAAACTAGACGTGGAAATACCTAATGAGAGAAAAAAAAGAGGACTCTACAGGCTCTTCGGTCGTCGTTGGTGAGATTTCTCTGGCGGGGCTTTTGATTTTTGTGTTCTTCACAAGAAACGTTATTTTCTTGCTCAAAACATACAACAATGGCGTCTGCTTGATTCACTGCTCAAAAGTCCAAAATATCCTTCCCCTGCATGTTTAAATTTCAGAATCAAGATTGACAAAATGTTAATTTCGTTAATAATTCTTTCTGTATATTCTATTTGTTGTTAACTAGGTGGTCGATCGCTGAGAGTCGAGAAGCCGAAACGGCACGGAACGATGGAGAGCACGTGGAAAATGATTACGGAGAAGAAGGAAATGCCGTTATCGAGGCACCTGAAGAAATCAGAGACGTTCGAGGACACATG